TTTTAAAAAATATTTAATAAATTTAAATATCTAGTTATATATCATAATTAATTTTCAAAATTTCTCATATGAGATTAGGGTTACAATTCCTAAGAGCGGGGACAAGATGTGATCTCAAGGGTTAGCATATGTTGTGTTAGTGGAACAGACGATGGGCATATGACCCTAAGACATACCCTACGAAAGGGCCTTTGTTTTTTTTTTTTTTTATCATAAACATGAATTGATGATGGAAAGTGGGGAGAGGAAAGCAGTGGGGGATCAATCAGTCATCTCCGACTAGGAATTCCACAAATTTTTAAAGTGGAACTCAATTTTATTACGAGTTTAAATTAATAATTATAACGTGCATTTTCATGGAAGCTCCAACAAATAGGCCGAAGGAGAAAGGGAGAGCTACCCTTCCCTCCACTAAGTATAATTATTAATTTTGAGAAATAAAATGATAGGAGTTTTAAGCAAGCCATTTTTGACTAATTTTTGCTTTAACATTGATAGGCTTGACCATTTCTTTCTATCATCCTCTTGCATCTTTTGCATTTTTTTTTCTTGCGTGAGTAAACAAAAGTTTTAATTTGATCAATTATCATTAAAAAATTTTTAAGATGAAAATACACAAACCAACAAGTACATAATCCGTTGATAAAATATTAAATTTTTAGTTCTAACATTAAAGTACACAAAAATTTCTCAACAATCTTGTGTCTTTTTCATATTTCCAATTTTTTATTATGATCACACATAATTAAACATATTCATATGTTCCTAAAAATATATTTAAAAGTATTATCAAATTTACATGTGCAACGACTTTTGAATGAATTAATATTAGCTCAAGCAAAAAATTTACAAAATTTCAAATATTGAGATAAGGCTATAAAATTCTCTATCTTTTCATATCAAATACAAAGTAACTATGCACCTAAAAAGGAAAAAAAAAAAAAAAAAAGGTGATTGGTGTGTTCCACTTGCCACAATTTAGACCTCAACATCTCCTCTCATCTAATTAAAATTGGACAACAATCCTTATTCTTCTCATTCATATATACCGAATAAAGAGTCAGCTCAAGAGGCATAAAATTTTGTTGGGGTTATTTTTGGGGGCAGGCAAAAATATGTCTTTCATATTAGGGGGAGGGGGCCTTAATTTCAATCTTTTATTGGCACAATCTCTTCAACCTTGACCTCAAAAACTTTTTATGTGGGAAGAGATGAGAAAATGTGATAGACACAAAATTTTACTGAATTTGGAGAAGCCAAATTGCTTAAAGCTTTGAAAAAGTGTTAGCTTTACAGTGGTAAGTTTGACAATAATAAATTGTCACCCCAATAATATTTTTTGACGTCTAAGTTTTCACCAAGATAATCTCTATAATAAAATTGTTCCATTGAAATCAACAAATTAACCAAGAATATCCCTTGACAAGATACTTCGAGTATAAAAAATTGGAAACTCCTTTTTTTCATAGAAAAATGAGAATTATTGTTTTGATACAAGGAGATCATAGTCTGATGATAGTGAAAGAGACCAAGTGCAGGTATTGAGATTTAAATATCAAATATATTAAATGTTATTTTTAAAGATGGTTGGATGAACAAAATTAAGTACGTTTTGACTCAAATGAGAGAGTTATGGAATAATAGAGCCAAAGTTACATTGCGATGAAAAAGGTAATAAAGGAGGTTAGGTGTCGGTATAAGAAGATCGGTAATAATAAGAAAGAATGTATGTGTTAAAATTTGAATTTCAAATATACTAAATGCCATTTTTAAATATAATTGCATGAACTGAGTTATGTTTCGGTTCAAATGAGAAAGTTACGGGGTGATAGAGCCGAAGGTACATTGCGAATAAAAAGGTAATAAAGAAGGGCGTCGGGCGTTGGTAGAGCTAAAATCCTGTCTCACCCCTTTGATCTAGACTCTCAGAGACATACCTGCAACAATGAGATAGGACAGCTCAAAAAAAAGTCACTTGAATTTCGTTTTAACTGATTAGAGATAAAGAGTTTCTTAGTAAAAAAAAAAATTGCTAATTATTGGTAAGAATTTGAACAGTAGAGAATTGTTGAAATGAATGCCAATGATTGTTGAATTAATTGAGTCTCAAGTCATTGTAGCAGCACACGAGAAAAATGCTATGATCTGCTTCTTTCACAAATTTGGATAATGGGAGTGTCAAATAACCCAGCTTGTATTGCCGATTGCCTACTGCCATATTTCGTTACAATAAAACACTGCCTTGTTATGTTACTATCAAATAAACAAGCAAGAGGGCAGCCACCAGTTTTGTTGTGAAAAATTATTAAGCAAAGGCTGTGCTTGTTGTTTTAAGGTAATGAGATGTTGACTCTTAACAATTAAACAATAACTTATTCAAAAAAAATGACAATCCCTCTTGGTTAAAATGATGCTTGAAACCCATAATCGTTAGGGGTAAGAAAAAAATTTGAGAAATAAAAAATTATTCAAAATCGTAATATTTGATTCAGTTTAGATCAATTTTTTTTATTTTATATAATATTAAATATTTATATTAAATTTGGTTCAAATTTCAAATCAAAATGTGAAAAACCAAAACAAAATTGAATCGAATCGAATTATATATTTTTATTAGTTTTTATACATATTTTAAATTTGTATAACATAAAAATAATTATTTTATATATAAATCTAGTTAAATATGTTAAAAATTATATTAAAATAATATAAAAATTAAATTTAAAACCAATGAACAAAACCAAATCGAACATGTAAAATTCAGTTTTAATCGAATTTGTTCCAAGAGAAAGTCAGTTCATATTCATATCAGATTTTAAAAATTTATAATATTATGTATTATCTGAAAAGATTAAATTAAATCTAACCCGATCTGTTATTACCCCTAACAATTATCAATTTAAATGATTTAAAGAATATTTTAGAAGTAAAATCTTAAACGTATTATATTAATATAGTGGATTATACCCCTAAAATAGTTTCAAAAATAGGATTAATCCAAAATAAATTAATCTTGAAGTTATTTTTGTAGAGACACGCATCAAACTTGCGAAATATTGTCTGCTTTGACCTGAAGGTTTCACGATTTTGTCTCACAAAAGATACCTCATAAGTTAAAGGGGTGTGAACCCTTATAACCTAAGATCAACTCTAGTACACAGTCGATGTAGGATTCATGGCTATATATATATATATATATATATATATATATATTATTCCTTATCCGCACATTCTTTCGATGTGAGATTAAAGACGTTATAATCTCCCCACCTTTAATACTTGATGTCCCTGTCAAGCCGAGTCCATCCACCATCCACAGGACCATGTAGCACTTAGGGACTCCTACTAGCCGCTAACTGATAATCGCTCTGATACCATTTGTGGAGATCCGTACTCAACCTAAGTTGTATTATTCGCTTTGACCTAAAGGTTTTAAGGTTTCGTCCCACAAAAAGCACCTCATAATTGAAGGGGTGTGAATCCTTATAACCCAAGATCAACTTAGTACACAGTCGACATAAGATTTATGGCTCACATATATATCATTTCTTATTCACACATCTTTTCAATATGGGATTAAGAATGTTACAATCTAAAACCATATTATAAAAAAAAATTATATATGCCTAATATGACATATGTCTCACTACATATATAACTATACTTAGTCAAGCTTTTAATGATTACCAATAGATGAATGAAAATGGAAAAATGGCATGATAGTTAATTAAATCATGTTTAGATTTACCAATTGTTTGGCATATTAAAAATATGCTATGGAAGTGAATGAACAAAGAAAACCGTCAAACAAGTTTTAAAAAGTATGGAAAAATCAGAACCATAAAAAAAAATAAAAATAAAAATGCAAGGGGGTGTGCTGGGACAACATGGTTTGTTCCAGCAGAGAACGTGGGAGGAATGGAGAGAATTTGTTTTCTCTTGTAATAAAAATATACATATTTCCTATGCATACATCTTACATGTCCAAGGAGGGGACGGTCGAGGGTAAAATTAGACGAAACGATTTAGATAAGGTTTTTTAAGTGAAATTTATAAAATTTTTTATTAAAAATAATTAAATTAAAATCAATAAATTAAAATGTTTCATTATATAGATTAATTGTACAAAATTTAATAAATTTTGATATAATTTTTAAACAAGATATTTTTAATAAAAATATTGATAAAATTTTTACTGTTGAATAAATATTGATCAAATTTAAATTATAAATAATATTTTTAATAATTTTTTTACATATTATTTTCACATTAAATTCTATCAATTTATTTATTTAGATTTTTACTAAAATTTTTATTAAATATTAAAAAAAATTTTACAAACCAAGAATAACGGTCGTATAGTACACTGAATTTTGCATGGAAATTGGCAAGTGAATTGGTGGGTCAAATGCATCTTTTGGACTTTGTTAAATGAAAGATGGGGAAAGAAAGGGAAATGGCCGGCACCGCCAGCCACTGTGATCAGAATATAAGATCTCAAATGTGTCTAAGTTTAGAATCTTAGAAGATGATGGAAGTATAAGATTAAATGTTAAGGAACATATCAGATTATCAAAACTAGTTGATGCATCCCAAATGTTGCTAAAGATCCCCTGAGAATAAGCATCGATGAAAGCATGTTTGTCACATACAGGATCAAAGCATCGATCCTGTTAGAGAAGAAACATGTTCATACCTTTGAAAATTTGACAAAAAAAAGCTCATTCCATGAAGAAAAAAGCTAAGGGAAAAAAGAGAGAGGAGACAACTTGAGAACAGAAGATAAATAAAAAGCTCATATGAACATTTAGGATGACATTTTTTTAATAGTTCGTGAAAGGGATATTCCAACTCGAAATCTTCTTATATCATTATATTATAAATTTGACCACCTTTGGTTTTTTACCTAAGGGTGAAAATTTGGAAAAGAAAAAAAGAAAGAGAGCAATTTGATTGGAGGGTGAGTCAGCCGGGTAAACAAAGGGTGAGGCAATCATCTCTCTTTGTTCGTAGAGGGTCATTGGACTATTAGAGCATGAATTTACGCATGCTAAGCCTACAACCTTGTGGCCTCTGCTACCATTATATATGCACACCAAACCATTCCTAAATTGTCAAGCGTTTTTCATTTGTTGTGTTCGTTGAAGCATAGAACATTTACTTAGTTTCTTTCAAAAGAAAAGAAAAAAAAATAAGAGTGAGAAATGGAGATGAAGATGGAAATGAATCAATCCAAATTCAAGAGAATTTGTGTGTTTTGTGGGAGTAGCCCTGGAAAGAAGAGCAGTTACAGAGAAGCTACTATTGAGCTTGGCATGGAATTGGTACATAGCCTACCCTCTTTAATTCTGCTTCTCTCTCTTTCTGCTCAGTTTTTGCTTTTGGTTTTATGTATTTTCCTTGAACTGATTTTCCAAGCCTTTCCCTACCTTATTCTTGCTTTTTAGTTCACTTCCTCCAAGTCAAGTTGTTTCCTTACGTATTTTTTCTTGCTAGTTCATTCCAAACATATTGAAATGTTAATTTAATTTTCCTCTTTCAAACGAAGGTTTCAAGAAATATTGATCTGGTTTATGGAGGAGGTAGTATTGGATTAATGGGCTTGATTTCTCAAGTAGTTTTTGATGGTGGCCGCCACGTCATTGGGTAGGCATATTCCTTCCTTTTTTTTTTCTCATTAAAATTGATTCAAAACTTAAAATGATTGACAACAAAACTTGGTTCTAACATTGTCTTGTCTTGGTTTGTTCTTCATGTTCACTGTCTGCAGAGTAATTCCCAAGACACTCATGCCTAGAGAGGTATGTCTTCTATTTGCATGATGTGTTTTCCAAGCATTTTATGCATTAAAACAACAAATAATCTAAAGAAAAAGAAAAATAAAGGAAGAAGAACATTATCTGCTTCTCTTTATTTTTGTTGATATTAAATAGGTATTATTTATTTTTCTAGTGGTAGCTCCCATGTCTTGAATTTCTACCTCACTTTTGTTATCTTTTAAAAATGGGTTTCACACTTGTCTCTTTTGGGACTCAGCAGGTTCCAATTTAGACTTTTGGTTGGTCCTAAAATTTTCTTTTCCCCCCTTGTTTTTCACATTTTTTGGTCCTTTTTTTAATGAAACTTTGCCAATGAATTCCACCTGAGGGCATATGGGTCTTCACCATTTGTGTCCCTCTCCAATGGTTTTTATTTGCCCACCACAAAGATTCTCATTCTTTGTATTGTATCAGGTTTATATGGTGCATGTATTTTTATTCTGATTTCTTTTTGTGGACTGAGCCTACCACCTCATCTATTCTCATCATTGCTTTTCAGTGAAGAAGCTTTTTCTCTCACTAAAAGTTTCTATTATGTGGGCATTGCTTTGTATTGACTTGGTGGCTAATGACATTTGCAGATAACTGGAGAGACAGTGGGGGAAGTTAAGGCAGTAGCAGACATGCACCAAAGAAAGGCAGAGATGGCTAGACAGTCTGATGCCTTCATTGCATTACCTGGTTAGTCTCAACCTTAGAAATTGTAACTGTTGCATTGCAATGTATGGCATAAGTAGCTCAGTGACAGCAACTTTTTTCCAGCTTGTTGAACTACCAGAGTTTAGTCTCACTAGCCCCAAGAAAAAGCCCATGATTAGATTTCTACCCTTCACCATCATCACCTTCTGACACTGAAAATTAGGCTCCCCTGGTCACTGGTGACTGATAGCCTAAAAAACTTTCCGTTGTGAGAATGCATTATCCCTCTGCGCCAGTAGTCCCCAGCCTACGGTCTTACTGTACCATTCCTTCACCAGATATTATGAAAAAAAAAAAAAAGGATTGTGGAACATACATGGTCCTTTCTCCTTTGCCAGATCAAATAATAAGAGGCTTCTGTACCATAACCAATCTTTGTTTGATAGCATCTGTTTTGATCAATTTCTCAATGGGGGACCTGTGGCTGGGGGCCTTCTCCTGGACCACATCTGCTAAGGGTAACTATGCTTGTACTTTTGGTTCTCAATAAAAAAAAGAAAAGCCCTATCATTCACCCAAAGGGACCTGCCCAAACTTGCAAATACAGGGTTAACTGGCCAAGAACACCAGAATATGGGCTAAGCAGAGACCAAGAGTGAAGGGCAAGGCAAAATCAATGGGCTCAATCTTGGGCTTTATTATCAAACTCATATTGGGTTAACATGGAAACCCATTAATTTTGTATATTTAATTAAAGGAAATTCTATATGATTTTCATGAAGGTGGCTATGGAACTCTTGAAGAACTTCTTGAAGTTATAACCTGGGCCCAACTTGGAATTCATGATAAACCGGTAATATTCCATTTTCTTCCCTCCAATTTTCCAATTTCTTGAACAAAATAAATGATGGGATTTTGTTTTTTTCTTTAACATTCAATAACAATGAACACAAAAAATCAAGACACTTCAGTAAACTGTCTTCAAAACTAAAATCTTTGTCTGTTGAGAATTGCAGGTGGGATTGTTGAATGTGGATGGTTACTACAATTCCTTGTTGTCATTTATTGACAAAGCAGTGGAGGAAGGTTTCATTTGTCCAAATGCACGCCATATAATAGTGTCTGCTCCCACTGCAAAAGAGTTGGTCAAAAAGATGGAGGTTTAAATTTTTCTCTCAATTATTTAATTCGAAACATAATTCTTAGTTCATATACATCCCGTAAATTTAAAGTTTAAATCTCAACATCCTAATAAAATTATCAATTAAAAAACTAAGATTTGGTTTAAGGCTTGTGTTATTTCTTATCATAGTTCAAAGGATAATCTAAACTAGGATTTTATTGTCAATTTTAATGATTAAACGACCATTTCTCTGTAATAGGAGTATGAACCGCAGCACGAAAGAGTTGCTTCGAAGCTAAGTTGGGAGACAGAACAGTTAGCCTACCCTGCAAAATGCGAAATCTCGAGGTGAGAGATTGAGGCATGGCAAGGCAACAATGCAGGTTTCAGGAAACTAATTTTAGGAGACCAAGATTTGCTGAAATGAGAATTTTTTATTGAAATGAAATTTCAGGAAACTGACTTTTTTTTTTCATTTGAAGTTGAAATTTGATTCTGTAATGCTCAACTTTGTGGCAAAGTTGGTGATGAAATGAAAAGAAATTTGTCCCATGAATGGACTTGTGTTGTATAACTAACTTGTTATTGTTAAATTCAGGGGTTTTTCATTCAATTTTCACCGAGTAACTTAGATAACACCAAAAATCAATCTAGAATTATTGATCCTATAACTTCTTAATTATGAAATTATGGATTAATTTAAGCAACAACTGACAACAAATGGTTGACAAGCTTCATGGAAGAAGTTTCTCATTGACATGATGTACCTCAGAGGCTATGTGAGCCTTTTCCCCAACTTCCCCAAACCAAGCTAGCTTTTCAACAAACCATATGGAGCCTGAGGCTCACATCAGTGCAAAGGAAAATGTTTTTAGGCATGACAAGGCAGACTTTGAAGTCACATGCCCCTGTTGCCTAATGGGAAGTTGCCCTGCCTCCATCCTGAAAACTGCCATCACTAAACCTTTTAAACCAATCTGTTTCACAGGAGATGCTCAAGACAGCCGGAGCCAAGTTGGGTCAAGATGTATTAAGATGCGATAATGCCACAGAGATTGTGATGGTTGATCATGTGACAGGCCTGCCACAACAATGCTCGAAAGTCCTATGATTGAATCGTTTGTTATTGGTTAATTATTCTTTATTTCTTTCAAACAGAAAAATCACCAATGTAATATTTTTTCTTCCATGATTTGATATTCCATTCAAGGGAAGGGGAAGAAGGATTAATGAGGAAAAGATTGGTGAAAGTTTTTCAATGAAGCCAAAATGGCTTTGCTGTAAATTGTATATATATCATCTTACATTATAGTAGGGTCTTATTAAGGCGGGGAGGAGCTTTCAGCTGATTTCATCAATACTTAATTTCTGCATCATATTCAAATGATAAAGTAACGGTAAGTGGAAGCAACTGTTTTTGTTTTTTAATTTTCTTGACCCTTGACAAGAAAAGAAAAGAAAATGTTTGTCATGTAACGGATGAACTATTGATTTTACCTCCACTGCTGCATTGACATTTGAACCTCATTTGCCCTTTATACCCTAAAGATTTTCTTTTTTATGAAGGAAAAGAGTAGCAACACTCCATTACATGTCGCGCCCATAAGCAAGCAGTGAAACTGATACTGAAACTGAGCAAATTCCTCGTGATCGATCCACATGATCTCTGCTTTAAGGACTAAGGTCCAGTGCCAAATCAGGCACCTGTGCACGGTGAAAGTTACTTCCCCCACCGTGCAAGAAAAGGGACTCTAATTTGATCAAACTGTTAAAAGTACTGATACTATTACTAAGAAGAATAAAAGGTAACAGGCTGCTAACAAATGAAGCTTTCCCTAAGCATCTTTGAAGGAAGTTGAGCCATATCATGAAAATGACATTCATTCATTAAATAAGTGCCTAAATGTCAGCAGAATTTTGTCATTGTTGATTTTGGTCCAACCCCAGAGACATTAAAAGGGATTTTTAATGTGAGAAAGGTTTTTCTTAATTTGCCTAGGTTGGTTATGGTGATGCTTGAAGGAAGCCAACGAAAGGCCTCCTTCAGGAGTGAAAATCAAGTTTTTTGTTTCTCACCAAACTCCAATTGAGTTTCAGGATGGCAAGCCTTTTTGCTTGCATTGGCAGGTACCTCACTTGCATATAAGAAAATGTTCATCTCACCTTCCTACCTTGTGGGCTAAGGCTCATTTAATATTTCTCCCTAAAGGCTTAAGAATATAGGTAAGCTGGTTTAGGCTTGGAAGACCCCATTGGACTGTGAAATGTATTTAACCAAAGAATCACAGCCATAATTTGATGAAATTGAGTTCAATATCAGTTATAGCAATGGCAGTGAAACAAATAAATGACCTCAGCAACCCATGGCCATGTAGCAAAAAATGGAAAAGACAAAACATATAGAGAAGGAAGTTAATTATTATATATCATATCCACAGTCTTTTAAATTTTTACTGTCTCATTGCTTAAATTGATCGTTAGCTTCATTCTGGAAGAACAAAAACAGTACAAGTAGTACTTAAAATTGAAACAGCGTTAGGCACCAACCCTCTTACCAATCTAACATAAAAGGCCTGCTTGAAAACCTACATTCTCATACAAGCCACAATCAACTCTCTCTCTCTCTCTCTCTCTCCCCAAGCATCTGCAGCTCAAAAATCTCTCCCAACTCTGTTCCTACAGTCTGGTCGCTGCTTGTTATAACTTGATGTGCTTTTCTAGTGATTTTATGAAGTTGTAGGAGCCCTCTGTCAATAATCTTGTCACCTTCCTTTTATTAACTTAGTTTTCTTTCTCTGAATCTTTTTAGGGCTCCTAAAATTCCAAAGTTATCTACTTCTTTGCAAGGTAACATTTATATGTGTTCCATTGGCATTTTCTTTGCTTCATAGATATCTGTTTTGTCCAAAACAAAAGATAAGACTCTTTTGTTCCTTATCTTTTGTTTTGTTACTACATGTTGGTTCTTAAACATGCAAGGCAGCAAAGCTTGAAGAATATTTATACAGTTCATCAATATGTATATTACTATATTTTTACTCTATGAACACACATGGCCTGTGAAAATTATATACTTTTACTTGTAAGATTGAACTGTTTACCAAATTCATTCAGATGGGTATTTGCTAAGTTTTATCTGTTAGAAAGTAGTGTAAAATCAAGTCATTTCTGAGATTAGTCTGCCTTCTAATATGATAAACAGCATATTTTTAAGCTTTGTGCCAAAGAAATTAATGCACCGGCGTACAACAATCGGCAGTTAACCAGCCAGCATTCACAATATAATTTTCAAATTGGCTTGACATTCTATAGTGATTAGTATCAATCAAATTGCATTTATTAAGTACAGGAGAACAGATCCACTAGCTGTCTTTCTGATATTTATTTCTATTTTTGTTTGTTTCAGCAAAGATGGGAGAGATGTCAAGCTTCCAATTGGGTGTTATTGGCGCCCTGTTTCTTTCAGTTGCATCATCTGTCTCTATTGTCATTTGCAACAAAGCTTTGATGAGCAATCTTGGCTTCCCTTTTGGTAATTTTTCTATTCTTTCTTCCTTATTTGAAACAGCATTGTCCATTAGTATATCAAAAGAGAAGTAAACTATTTTTTATTTCTTTCTCCTCTTTTTCTTCTGTTGCTCCTTGGTGCAGCTACAACACTCACTAGCTGGCATCTCATGGTAACATTTTGCACCCTTCATGCGGCGCAACGCTTCAATCTGTTTGAGAATAAATCCATTGACATGAAGACTGTGATGCTCTTTGGCATCCTCAATGGTGTTTCTATTGGATTTCTCAACTTGAGTCTTGGATTTAACTCCATTGGATTCTACCAGGTGGACTACATTTTTCACAAACATAACTATATCACCATTTTAGCCCATAGATTTGTGTCCTGATTCTTTCTGGTGCCTCATTTGACAGATGACCAAACTTGCAATCATACCATTCACTGTATTGCTGGAAACTATCTTCCTAAAAAAGCAATTCAGGTTTTTTTTTCTTTTTATATAGCCATTACACTTCTGATAGTTAGCATTTTGAGATTCAAAGCTTACCAGAACTTTGTGTTCTACTCTGTGCAGCCAGAAGATAAAGCTGTCCCTCTTCCTTTTACTTGTTGGAGTTGGCATTGCCTCTGTAACTGATCTCCAACTCAATTTTGTTGGGACAATCCTTTCTCTCCTTGCCATCGCAACAACCTGTGTTGGGCAAATTGTATCCTTTTACTCTCATTGCTTTCTTTTTATTATTGGTTTGTTAACAAATTAACTGAGGATGCATCAACGGATCAAGCATTTACATTTCAGAGCCAATACTGCAAGGAAATGAAATTTAGCATTGGCAAGTGCTTCTGAAATTATCTTGAAAATTCAGTTTTGAAGATTTATGATCAGGGCATGACTATATATGCCAGTATTGTTGAAAATGGTGGCATAGCAGCACTTCTTTTTTCCTTGACTTGATGAATATAGCTGACAAACACCATACAGAAGAGGCTCAATGTCTCTTCAACCCAGCTGCTGTACCAGTCAGCCCCATTTCAAGCAGCTATTCTTTTTGTCTCAGGCCCTTTGGTTGATCAGTTCCTCACCAAGCAAAATGTGTTTGCTTTCAAATATTCCCCTATAGTCTTGGTACAGAATCAAAACCTCTCTTTCCTCAGCATATCACACAGATTATCAATGAGATTTCTGATAACTTATTTCTGTTGAACATTTGCAGGCATTTATCATCCTCTCGTGCATTATTTCTGTATCTGTCAACTTTAGCACATTTCTGGTGATTGGCAAAACATCCCCAGTCACATATCAAGTTCTTGGCCACCTCAAGACTTGCCTGATTCTTACCTTTGGCTATACATTGCTGCATGACCCTTTTACAAGCAGGAACATCATTGGAATCTTGATAGCCATTTTTGGGATGGGGTTGTATTCATATTTTTGCACCCAAGAGAACAAAAAGAAACAAGCTGATCCACTGGGGCCTCAGGTATATCTATATTTTCCTCTCTTCCCTTCTCCATATCTCCCAATAAAAGGTTTGTTTTAACAAATCTTTTATGTCTTGTTTTTCAGATGAAAGAAAAAGATGCAACACCATTTCCGGCTCTAGAGAAACAAGGCCATGAAGTTAAAAATTCAGATAAGGATTCCCTTGTCTAAAGCAAAACAGGATTTTGTATTTCAAGGTGTCGTTTCAAAAACATTTTGTATCATTCATTTCCAATTCATCTATCTCCCTCTTCACATTTCATAGTAAAACTTGACATATTTCTAAGCGTATTATTTAAAAAAAAAAAAAAGGTAAAGTAGAAAAATTGAAGAAATATATATTGAAATTAAGAAATTATAGTTTTTGCGATTATAGTTTCAATGTAATTATAAAAAAAATAAAAAATATTATGTGGAGATTCGCTTTAATTTGAAATTTTCATAATTTTATTTTTAAAAAAATACTTTATAAATTTAAATTAAAGTTTTTAATTATATATTATAATAACAATTTAAAAGACTACACGAAGATTTGAAACTTTCACGAAACAAATACTATACTAAGATCAATGTCAACGGTAGCTTTCTGAAGTTCAGGACAAGCACTTACCGTACACGTTAGGAACTACTAGCGGTAGTTGTGGTTTTTTTGCTAAAATACGATACGGAGTCGTTTTTCACTCACTGTGATGCAACCATCAATTTCTGTGCTTTTCTTGTATCAAATAATATTTCTGCTCATATTTCTCGATTTTTTTATATTTTAACTTAATAAACATGATTAATAAACTGATACTTCTCTCTGTTTTTCAATTAATTTTTTTTATTTTTTTAATTTTTAATAAAATATAATTATATGTGTTTTTTAATTTTGTGAAATCTAAAAATTTCTATCACCAATCACCATCCATAAGTAAGATTTATATATCTTTAAAATTTTTTAAATTTATAAATCATTTATCAATAAAATATCATAACTATTCAAATTTAAATATTTTACATCTAAATTTTAAATTTAACCACTTACCCTAACTTTTATTGACTTTTTTTTTTTTTAATTTACAATTGATATTGGACTATAAATTTGTGCAATTGAGGATCCAATAGCTTTTGGAGCCAAACTTGACTTCTACCATATTTCATTTCATTTATTCTAAAATTTGAATTCTAAAATCTTAAAATTCTAACTGTTTGAGTGTGTTTTGAAAGACTAATAAAATTAATTTTTATATATTTTTTAAAATAATAATTAAATTCAAACTCGAAATTTATAATTTTAAAATTGATTCTAATACTACTAAATTATCGGCGCGTCGATGATTATGATGATACCAATAATGATAATGATGTTAGTTTTATTGACTAGTGAGGCTTTGTTGTTCGAATTAGCAGGACAAAGGCATGAGACGAGAATAAATTAGTGTATAACCCTAGTGAGCCTTCACCAGATGTAGGATAACTCAGTCCCAGTTGGAATCGTCAACACGTTCTATGCTACACTAAATGCAATTAACACTAATACAATATATTTGTATTATAAAATATCATGAGCCGTCTAAAATTTTATAAAGTTTTAATAGTACCTAATAATAATTAGGTATGACACAGCAGCCAGTGGGTAACACAAAGCATTCAATTTTTCATTAATAAATAATATTTTTTTGACTTAAATATAAAAAATAAACTACTTGAATTATAATTAAAAATCATTCAAATATTTTTTTATTATAATAAATCATAATTTTTTAATATTTATTTATAAATAATTAAATTTTTATTAAAATAAAAAATAATCTCATTTAAATTTTATTAATTAAAATAAAATTTCAATTAACATCTATAAATTAAAATTTGACAACAAGGCAGATTGTTGGTGAGCAACATTTTTTTCTTCTTTTGATGGTGCACAAGATAACGTGTTATTGGTTGAAAAATAAAAATTTATATTTGGTATGCTATTAATACATAAATTTTATACATTATTAATAAATAAAAATGATATTATCTTATGAAAAAAAATTTTAAAAATTTAATTTTATATATTAATTTTAAAATTTTATATTTAATAATTAATCAAATAATATCATTTGATTTATTAATAATATCGCGACATCAAATTTAAACTCATAAAATAAATCCATTCGAAACAATAAATTCAACCGGGACTAATTCAATAATTCAACGGGGCTAGGAAAAAAGCTTCCCTATAAGATATTGACCTGAAAAAGCTATCCATTTAAACCTATTTAATTCAAAATAAAATGTCAAACAAATAAGCAAATTTAAAAATTCCTTCTGTTGCTTTCCCCTGAACAACACCAAGTTACCTGTCAATATTGCTTAATACATTTTCTTTTATTTTCTTTTTTCTTGAATTTCATTTTTTGAATTAAAAATAAAAAAAATGGGCATCTTATAAATAATGCATATGTACTTCTAAAAGCATATAAACAAGAAGAAGATTAATTAAAATAATAAAAGGATAAAAGGTTTTAAATTTTCAATTTTTGGAACCCTTTTTAAAATTTGGATATTAGTTTTAATTTTTTTCAATTATATTTAACAAAAATAATTGTAATTAATTATGTTATCATTCACATTATATTTTAGGCTACTCCCGTTAACTTTACCATACCATTGCCATTTGCAAGCACCTCGTGGAGATCTTGACCCATTATTCCCTTTAACTCAAAAATTGTATAATTTTATTTTACAAAAAATATTTTATAAGTTTAAATTTAATTTTATATTATTTTGATATAAAATTAAAATATTACAAACTCATTCATTAAAATTTAATATTTTCGTTAAATTTAATATAAAATATATAGATTCATTAAATCACACTAAACGTAAGATAAATCTAACAAAATACATACAAAAATCATAAAATCATACAAAATATTAAGATTTTAGAGATAACTCACATTGTATAATACTTAATTCTGACAAGATTTTAAAAATGATTCATACAATATAATACTTAACTTTTATTTGACTGATAATCGTTTTGATACTATTTATCGAGATTTATATTCAATTTATAAAATATTATTTGTTTTAACTCAAAAATTTTATAATTTTATTTCATAAAAAATATTTACCAATTTTAAATTTATATCTATATAGATATTCTAATAAAATTTTGTATTATCCGATATAAAATTGAGTATTACACTTCCATTTTTCCTCACTTTCCCTCTTGCCTAACTCAAAAAATAATAAAGAATGTTGTAAGTACTAGTACTACAAGTACTAGTAATATTTTTTAATTTGCCTTGCAGATTAAAAAAATACATAATGTTTTAATAATCAGATAGAAAATTAAATAAATAAATTTTAAATTTTCGGTTCAATCAATCTAATAATTTAGTCTAATTTTTAATTCATTGAAAATATGTATAAAAAATGCAAAATGGAAGATTTTTTTTTTATAATTTAGACAATTTTTTCTTATCTATAAAGTTTAAATTTACTACAAATATTTCAAAAATAAAATTTTAAATATATTATATCAATAAAAAAAACATTGTAAAATTTAATGCCCTTGTTAATTTGGTTACATAATTAGATACTCTTTTTATCTCCTTTTTTATCAATATTTTTTTGGAATATTTTAAAATTATATTTTTTAACATTTAAAATTTTTATTTTTTATATTTTGAAATTATATTTCATGATTTCTTTTAATTTTTTAACATTAAAATTTATAAAAATTAATTTTAATATTAAATATATTAAAATTAAATTTCTTTTAATTTCATAAAAATTAATACAATTTAAATATTTTAGACGAATGGAATATAAAGCTTATACCAATACGTTACGGAGGGATACTTAAAACATACTTATACGATTATTTTCAAGTCAAAGTTCGTTGCAAGCATCTCAACGATCTCTGAATTTTGGTGTTGCTTATTTTACAAGGAAAAAAAATCAACTTTTCATTTTTTACTTACAATTAGATAATTTTCCTCAATAAAATATAAATTTGTTTATTTAATAATTAAATAAACAAAAACATAAAGGGGAAGTCCATGATTGGTTGCATAAGTTTTGCGTACTTTTTTAACTTAAATAAAAGGACAAAAGGGTGATAAAGTAATTTTAACCATTCAATATTCGCCTGGCAATCTTTGTCTCTATAAGCCTTCCACCGTTTTAGTTTTCTTTAACAAAGCAGAGCCAAAGAGAGAGAGAAATCGAGAGAGTTTTTTTTTTTTTTTTGGTAACTGAAACTCCAAAGAATAAGAGTTTCGCTAATTTCACCACTCCAAAAGCAATAATATATATATATATATATATATTGATTCTCATCTCCATAGCGTTTTTTTGAGTCTCTGTTTGGCAAAGAACTGTTCTCTTTCCTTTCAAAAGGTAAGGAAAAATGGCTGGTTCGCAGAGCGGAGAACTGAAAATGGAAGGATGGTTACATATAATTCGTTCGAATCGGATTGGATTACAGTACTCAAGGAAACGTTACTTTGTTCTTGAAGATCATCTTCTTAAGAGCTTCAAATCCATGCCCATTTCCAATCCACAGGTCTCTTCCTTACGTTCTCTTTAAGTGATATTTCGTTTTTTCTTTTTGTTTGTTCAGAAGCTTATCTTGTAAGTTTCGTTACTTATTTAACGAATATTCTAAAGAAATAATAGCATTAAAATTTAATATCATTGTCTTTTTGGTTTTTTTTTTTTTTCTGTTTAAGTTTTTGATCAATCGGTTTCGCTGCTGTATAAGTGAATAACTAATTTTTAACAGTAATGATTTTTTATTTGTTTTTATTATAATTTTTATTTTTATTTAATAATGATTTTAGTTGCTTAATCATGATTATTTGAATATGCTTAACAATTTCATGCCAAACGCATTTTCAGGTAGGGAAAAGACTTAGACGAGTTCGTGATATTACTTATTAGAAAAGATTAAATAAAATTTAAGATTAAAAATCAGAATCGATATATGAAAAGATTTCGGTGCATAAATAAATATATAAAATTTGAAAAAAATTTAATAAAATTTTATATATATTTTTAGATAAATATTTTTAGTAAAAATAGTAGTAAAATTTTTATCATTGAATAAATATTGATCAAATTTAAATTATAAATAATAATTTTAATAATGTTTTTATATATTATTAATTTTTACATTAAATTTATTAATATATCGATTTCAATTTTTTATGGAAGTTTTTATTAAATTATTTTTTAAAAAATTTTTTTACAAAACGTCAGTTAAAAAATTTCATATAAATTTTATCATTTTAGGTAGAGTATGACTGTATGAGTACTTTGATAGGGAGAGAGAGAGAACATGATTGACGTTTTTGCTCTTTTTACCTTTTTGTTTTTCTTTTTTTTTTGAATTGTTTCTTTCAATGGAA